TTAAAAGGAAAGAAAAATCTTGGTCCTGAGCCAGAGTCCTCCACAGCCTCAGTATATTGTGTTCCTTCAGCCACTGTAAGGGATTGGGTAAATGGGATGTGGTACTTTGCCAGGGATAAAAAGCAGAAGAGGAAGTGAAGTAGTAGAATGGATCCCTATATCCACATCTATTCACAAAATACAGTGCATTTGGTAATAACTCAATTAAAGAGACAGACACAGAAGTCAAATGATCCACAACCTTTAATAAAAAAGAAAGCTATATACATCTATAAAGCATACCACAGAAATCCTACAAATGAGGAACTTATAACTGAATCAAAATATATATATTTATTTTTGTAAATCCAGCATAGTGCAATATTTTTATTACCTTTTTCAACTTGGCTGACTTTGGTTCACAAACTTGCTACAAGTGTTGGCAACATAAATCTGAACTCCACAGACAATATTTGGCTCTATATTTTTAAAACAGTCAAAAAAAAAAAAAAAGAAAACACTTCGTAAAATGTAGGAGAAAAATATAAAAATGACAGCAACAAATAGGCGGGTAGCCCAGTCTTCTCCAGCTACTGTATGACTCCAATCTATTTTTGTGTCTACGTGGAGAGACAGACTTGCAATACTAAATTTCTCCATTGGGTGGTAGTGAAACATTGTATAAACAAGTGACACCATCAGACCATTTTTTTTTTTTTTTTTCTCTATGCAGGTCTCCGTTCCACTTCAAAGCTGCAATCAGGTCTGGAATTTTCAACAAAATAATAATAAATGTGTATATATATATATATATATATATATATATATATATATATATATATATATTATATATATTATATCTGGACAGGGAAGATGGGCTAGGTGAAAATATTTTTCTGCGCAAATCAAGATTTAGGTGTCTCAAATATGTCAAAACAAGACTGAGCTCATTAACATACACACATGTGAACACACTAAAAAATGTAAGGAATTGTAGAGTCACAGTTAATGCTTTACTTTTATGACCTTGCATTATAGAAATTTTTATTTGTATTAAAATATTATAAATCACTTAATAAATAACATATTTCTTTGTAGCCTTATGGCATTGGTTGCCATTTTAAGACTCTAAAGTTGTGTATTTCAAGTTGTGTGCTTGTAGGTACTAAGTGAATGACTCAATACTAATAAATCGATATTAATCTTTTTTTTTTTCCCCAACAGCAAAAAAAAAAAGCTCAAGAAAAAAAGAAAAAATGTTCGCAGGTTGAGTAAATAATATTGCATCACTCTTGCAGCAAGAATGGAAACCAAAAGCAAGATTTCCTTGCATAAGTAAAATAGGTAAAGGCAACTTCACAAAGAAAAGAAATTACATATACAAAAACAATAAATGGAGTACTTTACACTGAACTTAAACATTTCAGAAAGACAAAGTATTACAGTTAATGAAGTTATTGCTGACATGTAGAACTGTAAGCCTGTCAATCAAATAGGAAAATAAAAAAAATTTGAAAAGCACATTGGATCAGGACACCCTGTGTGGTAACAAAGGGCTTCCTCTAAGCTCCCTTGGGATTGTGGAGCTCTGCATTTACAGGGGACTTTGGCAGCATCCTCTTCTGGTATAGACTGGTATTGCAGTTTGACCATAACATTTCTGACAGAGAATCCCCATTTCACTGGTTGGACTAGTGTGCAAAAAAAATGCAGTCATAAGGTTCAGCCGCTGCTACTTCCTGCAGGAAGGATCACCATCTATGATGTAGGGTAATGCACAGCCAGTCTGTGGAATGATATTGATATTGCTACTGCAAAGAGCAATTTAATTAATTGGCATTTACGTGTCACTGAAATAAAATTTCTAGATGGACAAATTGTCCAAATCAGTGCACATCTGCTTTCAATTAGAATTCTATTCTCTTCAGCAAAGGCAGGACATATACTGGATTGACAGGTCTACAATAAAGAAAAAGAAGTGTACCTGTCACCTGCAATCACCAGAAACAGCAATTTTCTGACACAAGGTACATGGGCTCATGCTGAAACTGACAGCCTGCAGGGTTACATATACAGGCTAGACCTACAAATGTGTCCCCCCCCCCCCCCCCCACCCTTGTGGATAGGTGACTGGTACACTTCGTAATAAACACTACCATATTCTAGCAAAACAGAGAATGCTACTTTATGAGGGCCACAAAGTATCAAATATATAGTTTTTAAAGGGTAAAATAGACCATAATGAATCCATCGTGTTCCATCTATGGTCTGAAAGCTTCTGAATTTTTAAGTCACCTTACACTGTCAAACCCATTTGCAACCTCATGTTATGTAATTTGATATTTCTGGGCTACCACATACCATGGGGGGAATCAACAAAGGCATAAAGCCTGCACTGCTCTTCTAAACTGAGAAAACAGAACTGACCCTGCTTCTCAGTTAACAAAAATGTGCATAAGCATCCTCATTAGTTAGGACCAGGCTGCTCTGTTTTCTATGCTGTGTCTGTGCCAGACATGGAACAGAGATCAGGAGCTGCTCGCTTGGGCTCCCTCTGCGGAGGTGAGGAGGAAGGCTGTTAACTCTGCATTTGCCAGGGCTAACATTCAGGCATATAGGCAGGGAAAGGAGCTTTCCATGTCCATATGCAGTCTCTGCTTCCATAGTGTGTTCACAGAGAGAAGCAAGTGAGCTGACAGTAGGTAATTCACATGGAATGTGGCAATCCCTTTTGTTAATTTAGGCACAGAACCCAAACCAGTTTCTGTTTCTCTATGAAAATGGTGAAGGTAACAAAAAGGACAGACCTAAAACAGGTTTTTCCTGGCACCAACATGGCAACATACTATCACAAGTATGTGATACAAGTTTCCATTTTTCAGGTGCCAACATGGCAGCATACATGTGGTAGTATTCTGCCATGGATTGGTGCCAGGAACAAAATGATGGTATTGGATACAATTTTCCATTATCTGCTTTGTTAAAGTGCCACTTGCACCAGTTTCCTGCACCGTTATAGTGAAGCTTTGTTTATTTTCCCCCCAAAACATATTAATCGTAGGACATCTCATTAAAAAAGGACACAAACATTGATTTTATTACACAGAAGAAATGATTGGCTGTAACCTGGAACCTAATTTATTGTGTTGTCACAGATGGTTTTTCATACTTCTAGTTAGTTTTGATCCAAGTACAGAAAGCTATGCAAACGCAAATGTAGTATGTTCATGTCCCTTAAATAATAAAGAGATGCAATAAAAGAAACAGGCTACAGATTCCCTTGAAGTTATTTTAAACACATTGCACTTAGAACGGTTAAACGTCTGCTACTAATTGTACTGAAATTGATCTGCATCTAAAATTAAATAATTGCAATGAGAACTTGTGCTCACAAATACTATGGAATATCCAAAACAACAAAAAATGTTTAATGAAGTGGCAAATGCACTTTTCTCTTTACAAGGCAATCACAGACTGCAAATATTAATAAGGCTGTGAGACAAAAAGACGGAGGGGAGGGGCGGTGGGTCTCCTCTTCTCCCTGTAACTGATTTTTCCACTAATAGAAAAATGGTGTGCATTTAGTGGCATGGATAAATATAGGGCCTGGAAACATCTACTACACTTCATACACACCAGCAGTTCTTGATTTTCTTCTGTTGGGTGGTACACAATAGAAAAAACGAGGGTTACAGCATCATCAGGAGGAAACTGCAGCCATTGTTCATTTTAGTTAGGCACAGCAAAGTGCATGCTTCTCTGAGCCCTCAAATACTGAACTATTCAGCTCCAAACACTCATTTGGCTCTGGGCCTCATAAGTCAATCAATAGGCATTTAGATAGCAGTATCAGAGGGTAAGCCTATGGTCAACATACAACAACCAAACAGATCACCATCTCCTGCTCAATCATCTAGGCAAGACTGGTTAAAAAGTTTAAAAAAGGCAAAATAAATAACACGGGTACAATACTTGCCTATCCTGGAGAAAATGCTGCTACAGTCTCCCTTAAGAGCTGTTCAGACAGGCTAATTCATTGTCTATCTGAAGCAGGCCTTCACACATGTGGTCAGCACTCCGAGCAGCATTTTCTCCAGGAATTGTATTTCAGCCCTTCTATTAATCTTAACGCCTCCATCCCAAAATAAAATTGTCATCAGAGAATGAAATCAAGGATCTGATTGGCTGCTACGGTCAACACAGCCCATCTTGATACTTTGCTAAAAGGCCTTTTGTAGATGTGTTTTGTAGGTCCACCACAGCTACAGAGCCAAAAGGTTGCAAGACTGGCTTAAATATTAGAATAATCAGAATATTATCTGAATCAATGCCACAGGGTAAAGACAGAGATGTCTTTATTTGGGCAAGTTGTCATTGGCCAAATATAAAATTTGAACAAAATGTTTTTCAATTCTTGGCTACGCTGAGGTCGGCCCAAAGGCTGGCTGGCACTAGATACATCTGACTTTTTGCTCACAGCCTTATTTACCATATAGATAAAATAATACACTCCTACTTAGTTACACTTCATCTTCTTTTCCCATTTAAGCACCTTGCACTTGTGAGGCTTTCATGGGACATGGTTGTTGCAAAGCTTTGTAATAGGCATGTCCTATTTCATCCTCTTAGAATGAAATCGTAATACTGATAACGTTGTACTTGAAGCTGGCAAACAGCTTATTACACCATGCAAAAGAACACTTTGAAAATCTACCTCTATAGTGACAGATTAACAAAACCTGCATCAATCATGGAAGAGCAGATGCATTGCTGAACAAGTTTTTTCATTTTTCTCTCATTTTGGCTCCACCAACATAGTCCTGGTCTGGTGTAAGAATTCATGGAGCAATAATAAAAGTCCTGCATACCATAAAATGTAGTAATCAAACGATGAAGAAAATAGGCTTCACAGTTTAACGTGTTTACACGTGGAAAGTTTCCGGGTTGTTACTCAGTAACAGAGTGCAAGCTTTTACAACATCAGCATGATTCTTCTACAATATGGCCTTTTCTAGATGCATCTAGTCGGCATGTGCTTTTTCTGTGGGACCCTGCAATGAAAGAACAATTCAGTTAATGGTCTATTTTTTAGTAGGAAATAAGCATGCTGAACTTGCGGTCTTGGAGTTATAATTTAACTCAAAGACTTGGAACAAAGAGGGCAGGAAATGAAGTTGAAACTCCTCATCTGCATGTTCATTCTCAATACCAAGATCAACATGACAGTCAGAAAGTTAGCATTTCCACAACAGGTAAAAATAGCAGCATCCATGTTTATCTCAGAACCTTTCATAAAAGTAAAAATTGCTAGTCACACAGTTTTAAAATAATAGAAGTTACATAGTTAGTCTAGCTGAAAAAAAAAAAAAAAAAAGTTATAATCCTATACCCACAATTGATCCAGAGGAAGGCAAAAAAACAAAAACATTAAAAAAAAAAACGCATGGTCCAATTTGCTCCTGCAGGGAAAAAAAAATCCTTCCTGATCCCCCGAGAGGCAGATATTCCCTGGATCAAGTGTCTTAGAAAAAGGCTGGATCTTAATCCTACAGGTAAGAAGAACAGTATACTTCAGGTAAATGGCTAAATACACAGCTAAAATTATACACAGAAGAATAGTTTCACTTGACAGTGAATTTGTAATTCTGTTCACCAAGCTTGAGAACCAGACATCCCTGCCAGAAAGGGTAGCCAGGTCCTGGATCTCCCCACAGACCACACTGCAGTTAAGCATGACAGCCTGGTCCAGGACCCAACCTGATATCTAGACATACAAGTACATATGCTAATAATAGATAAAACAAAAAAAACATTGTCTATGGTATTGAAGGTTTCCTCACGCTATGATTTTTCTGATCTGCATACTGGTTTTGCTATAGCCAGTAACCAGCTCAACTCTTACATGCTGTACCTCTGTGAAGTGCAAGAGTAGAAAAATATATAGCTCCCATACATTTAGAACTATTGAGATTTGAGCACAGGTATAGCTTTCTTCTATTGCAGTGCAGGTAAGTGGCCAGACCTGAACCTGTAGCTCTCCTACAATTTGTGTCTTTTTGCCTCATATTGGCACTGTATCCACTGGAGCATTTGTATTTTGCAGAGCAGAATAGGACTGACCAGAGAGGGATTACTTTGATGCAGTTGGCCCACTTAAACATGTATTGCAATGTATGTGAACAAAGATCCCAAATTTTTTTATTGCAAAGTTTGCTAGAGAGGGTGTGTTGCAATGTGCAAAGGTTTCATCCTGAAATTTCTGTGATAGACAAGACCTGCCCCACACTTGATGAGTACAAAAGGAAATAAGTCCCCTCATGATGACCATGTTAGTTTTGGAAGTTTTAGTGTAAAACAAACCATATCATGGCATCCAACATCATGACTATCATGTACAGGTAAGCAATGCAGCAAGACATCTGTCTTTGTCAGTAAATCAGCAATGACAGGCCCAGTTATTCTCTTGGGTTAATGCATGTTGGGATGCATTCCCAGATGTGCTTGGATGCTCCCTACTTAACAATTCTTAATAGGAAAATGCAGCAAGATGTTTGGTGTGAACAGTAAGTACGGATTAGTCTTACTAAGAATTGCATTTTTCTGCATTACAGTAATTGTACTGTGAATGAAGGAAAAAGGCTTCCCATGCAAAACAATGACACTTATATTGTAAAGTGCTGTGCAAACTGTTGGCGCTATATAAATCCTGTATAATAATTATAATAATAATGACACTGCTGGTTCTGAATTCACTGTAGCACCATTAAACCTGCAGGGTTCTATTTTGGGCCATCATTTATTTATTACAGGTACTTATATAGTGCTGTCAATTTACAGAGCGCTTTACATATATATTGTACATTCACATCTGTCCCTAACCCTCAACGGGGGAAAAAATCTAAGGTCCCTAGCTTATATTTACATACATACATACACATACTAGGGCCAATTTAGACAGGATCCAATTAACCTACCAGCATGTCTTTGAAGGGTGGGAAGAAACCGGAGTAACCGGAGGAAACCCACGCAAGCACAGGGAGAACATGCAAACTCCAGGTAGGTGGTGTCGTGGTTGGGATTCGAACCAATGACCCTAGTACTGCCAGGAGGAAGAGCTAACCATTTAGCCACTGTGCTGCCCAATACCAAAACTTTACATGGATTTTGCTTTTGCTAATGAGTGAGACATTATGTGAGGAGGCTGGAACTATATGTCAAATTTTAAATTAAGAAGGGAAGGTTATCACATATCAGACATCTGCCACTGGACCCTACACTAAATTTGACTGACTTTACTAAAGGATCACACATAATATTCAGTTAATGTAAAGCTAAATAAACTTTTAGAGACTGACATGCAACAGGAGCTGGTCAAAAACTATGAGCATGCTAGAACAGATGGTCAAAGAGTGTAGACATGCTTTAGGAGATGGCCAGAGACAGCCAACATGCTATAGGCAATAGAAGTTGTTGGCAACTGGGGACACATACGTAACATGGACTGTTACAGGGCAATAGGGAATCAAGAGACCTACTATCAGCAGGGCCCCAAAGGCAATAACGTTCCAAAAGTGCCGCAGGCTGGGCACTTGGGATCTAAGGGATCCCAAATGTTTTAACAAAACTTTTAAGAACTAAAATAAATAATAATACCATTGCTAGTTGTCGTCCTATATTTCCAACAGTAACGCCTCCAGAGAAGAATATGCAAGGCAGCCAGGAACGAATGTACAGAAAGTCTGGGGAGGTATACCTGAAACACACAAGGAAAAAGATTTCAAGTGAGTAAAGTCAAATTGTACAGAATTCAACAATACACAGGCCTGGGCTGCCATAAGGAAAAAGCTCATAGATTACTCCTAGAACCAGGGCATGGTCTTTTGTTTTAAAACAGACTGCAGAACGCAGGAAGCTGACTGGCTGCCCTAGCCAACTTTCTTAAAACAAAAAACTGTACTAGCCCTATTGTGGTTATGCTATGGAACACTACAGGTTACAGACACAGTTTTACTGGCACATTACATGCAAGGGAAATAAATGTATATTGTTGGAACAAGAATCTAAGGTAGCAGTCTTTGTGCCCGGGTTTAACCTCTCTACAGACATACACTTATGTCTGTGTTACTGTTGGGGCTCGTTCACACTTGACTTTATTTCCAACTCTTGCCAAACGCCCCTATACGGTTTGGGAAGCGTTTAACGCTCCTCAAGCGCTCCCCAAACGCCCTATGCGCGGTTTTAAGGTGGTTGAACCGTTAAAACCACACCACAACCACCTATAATGAAGTTAAATGGTATTAAACGCTCCGCAACTGCACACACCTGCCAGGTGTTTGAGGAGAGGCACCATAGACTTAAATGAGAGGCTTCAACTCCTGACTGGACATGAGGCGTCAGTTTTGCCGCGACTCTAATGCTTCAGTGTGAACAGCACTGTGTGCTGTCATGTGCAGAATTTCCATAGGCATTTGGAAAGAGTTTTTAACGCTTCTCAAACGCCTGTCTGATGCCTGCTGACAAAGCTAGTGTGAACGTAGCCTTAGAGAGTTTTCTATAATTCCTGTCTCAAAAGGTGTTGCCTCCAGGACTGTTAGGCAAAATCTCAAACAACAGAGCCTTAGATCACAGTAAAATCTGACGGGGGGGGGGGGGGGTCTAGTGAAAAACTACAAAGGCTTAAGGCCCTTTTCAGACAGGTATTCCGATTATGTCAGACTTGTGCCCGTTTACATCGTCCTACCTCCGGATCAGATCAGGCCCACTAAAACAAAAAACACACACACACACCATATCCTCTTCCATTTAGGTGGAGCAAAATTGGAGACAGTTGGGTATAAAAACAGACACAAGAGTCTGCTTCCCCCCCAGCTGTCCATAGAGCAGAGCAGGCTCTGCCACTGTCCGCTCTGCAAATACAAAGCCATCTGCCTGCTCTGATCACAGATCCTTGCTGATAGAATAAGTGTCAGGGTGAGAGTGGTCAGGTTCAGTATAAAAGGTGTGCTTCTAGGTGTTGGACACTGAGATTTTTTTCAGAACAGATGCAAACCAGATACCTATGCAAAACTCTCAAGTACCAAAACCAAACACACCAAAATTATATAAAAGTAGCAACATAGATGATACTTACTGGTACACTCCATTGTATACAAGAAACTGTGTTATGAGTGTAGCGAGAAAGGCTATTGTGATTCCTAGTCCAAGACCACTGCGTGAGCGGTCAAAGGTCCACCAAAGGCCCAGAGACAAGGCTGCTAGTGTTAGTGACAGCTGAACATTGTTTGCAAAATCCAATTTCTGGTGGAAAGTAAAGTTAAGGGAAAAGACTCACCATCATATTACTAAACATTAATTCTAGACACATTTACTATATTTTGCAAACAGATAAAAAAAAAAAAACAGCATTGCTCTGTTAATGTTTTTGTGACCTATTCTGTATATGAGCAGAAATAAAATTCCTGGACAATTTTGGAAATTAAACATGCTGAACATGAAAATCTACTTAGTTCTGAGTCATTCAGTAGCTAACTAGTACATAAATATACATTCTTGTACCAGCTGAGCATGCTTGTTTATGCACTAACAGGTATCCTTCTGCTTTAAGGGGAAGAGCAGAATCTATATAGGAAAACCCATACTGGGCTACTGGTTCTTCCACTGAGAGCCTGCACAGATTGCGTGATACCCATACAATTTGTCACTGGGCCACATGACTGCAAATTAGTTGTTGTAAAGCTGGATGCAATCCTAAAAAGGCACAGAATGTAAACTATTACTATATATAAGAACACCAGACCTTGTTTATCCAAGGAATATATGATTGACTTTGGGGATCAGGAAAGATTCTTTTCCTTGCAGCAAATTGGACCATGCTTTATAAGAGATTAAGCTCTGGATCAACTATGGGAGTTGGGTTCTATATATTTAGGGTTTCAATATAAACCAAGTACGCAACAAAAAAAACCTGTTAAGTAGCCTAACTAATGCATCCATGCTGTAACTTGAGTGTATAAAATATAGACATTCAAACTAGCTCTCACCAACATTTAAACCATGTTTAGCGGCTTTTTCTTTTTATGTAGGTTAAAAGGATACTGCACTAGCATGATTAATGCCAACAAAAACTGCTATACATCTCATGACGCTGGCCCATTCTCTCTTGAACTTGTGTGGTTCTCCAAGATGGCTGTCGATGCAAGGATAGAGAAGGCCAACAACAGCTGGAAAAGAAAACAAACCTTTAGTACATGCTCCAGAACTTTCCAATGATTACTTCGTTAGTGGCATTAAAACATGCAGTTAAGAAAAGTTAAAAGAAAGCAAACAGTCTTTAGGGTTCCAAATGTGTTTTTTATGTACATATATTTTAGCAACTAAAAACTGAATTCCCCAAATATACTTGGTTATATGAGCCTTTTCACCTTTTTTCATGTTTTACATCTCATTGCTGCTCATCTCCTGCAGCTACTTTCGGTCTATATGTACTTACTTCAGTGGTAGCTACAGGTCATTGCTAAGTGGCAGAGACACATGTCTGAACATGTGACAGGGTGACAAAGTGGGAGCACAAATGGAACATTGTGTTGTTCAGGGACTGGCTGTTATAGGGTGACAAGGACCTTCATGGAAGGGTCACTAGATATTATTTTAATAAAAGCTGTAGATTTAGTCTCCATACACACGGGGCGTTTTAATAATGCTGGCAACGTTAGCTGTGTTAAGTCACGTTAGAAAAAAACTTGAGTTTTTCATCGGTTTTTAGCATTTTTTGCATTAGCTTTAAGCTGCGTTTTTTTTTTACAAAAAAAAAAAAATACAAAAAATGTTTTTTGTCCAAAAATGCTGGTTTGCAGTGTGTGTGTTTTTCAGCGTGAGAGCATTTTTACAACTAAAAAAAACTCCTCTAGAAACCCACTAGTCCTGGCTTTTTTTCCCAGCCAAAAAAAGCACCTGCCAAAAAACGTTGATTACAGTCTGTGTGCATGGACACATAGGATAACATGCTGGGGAGTTTACTGGCTGTAGAAAAAAACGCCTAATGCCCAAAACCGCAGCTGTAAAAATGTCCAGTGTGCCTGCATACGTAAGAAGATTGAGATTTTAGTGACTGGTTTACTTCAATAGAAAACTGATGCCTATTCATGCATTTAGAGGTACCTGCAAATAATTGTACCTCCTTCCCCAAAGATGCCCACACTTTATATCTAGTGGCAGCCCCTATTGTTGCATTGGCAGCAAAACTGCAATTTTGTAATCAACAAAAAACCAAATGTCTAGTAAAAACAAGATCCCCTTTATGTGAATGGAAAATGACTGGGAAAATCTGCATCATAATGAGCTTCCTCTACAAAATGCTAGATGTTTGCCTGTTATGCGGACTCATTGGAATGACTGACAGTCAGGCAACTAGCATTCTCAGAAGGAGTAGACAGCCTTAAAGTTTTTTTTTTTTTCCTTGGATGACAGCTTTCCTTTAATGAGGCCGGTAAACTCAGACTGACTGTTTTATTTGAACTGCATGACATATACTTTTTTCAGCTTCACATTTTAGAGGTTTAAAGTTCATTTAGTTCTCTCTGTTCTCATTATGGAATATAAATATAAAAAACAGATGAATCAATATGAAATTAATTTTCAGAATAAGACTCACAGTTTTATATACTGTTCTATACATTGAATACGGGAAAACATGAAATGAGCAAATAGAAAAAAAAATAAATAAAAGTCAGCCGTTTTATTTTTCACTTTCGGTGTCTCTAGAGATATTTATGGCAGGGCTGGCAGACAAAATTCTCCTCCAATGATCACTTCCTTATTTTCGCTTTCCCAGCAGTGGCATGTTAAACTCGAAGGCCAATGAGGTCTGAGGCATGCAGCTCACCAGTTCAGGGGGTGGCCAATCACAAAGCTCAGAGCTTACAACATTTCCTGTGCTATCTACAGAATGCCAAACAGACGTCTGCAGTCAAGAGAAGCAGCAGCTCTAATCCTCATTGAGTTTCAGCCTGATAACTGCCCTATGGTGCAAGCTGATTAAAGATTAAAAAACGTAGAAAGCCGTTTTATGAATCACTCTTAATTTAGCAATTGATATGTATTATAACACATTACAGAAGAAATAACATTTTACAGTAATGATCGAATATGACAAGTCATCACTGGAGACAATAAAACAAGCTGTAATTACAAGAAATGAACCCGGGTTCGTTCACATCGTGTGTGTTAAGCTGCAATGATCTGTATAGATCAACGCAGGCTGAAGGCAAGGGCACATAGAAAACAATTGCTCGTCACACCATACATGTGTATGTACTTTTACACACAATGCAACACGCTGTGTTGCTTAAAGTTTTATGTAGTGTCTTTTTGTGACACTTCAAAAAGTTAAAACCGCCAGTCCTACACAACGTACTCCAGCACCCCATGTTTCAGTGCGCAGGCTGGTGAGAACGAGCCATAACATACTAGTACAGATACAGCTCCTTTATAGAGTGCCTGATCACTCTATTACACAATCTGACTCAAGGGCTAATAAAGAGAACCTGTCACAAAACAAAATTCCTGTGTGAACTCAAAAAAAAAAAAAAAAAAAAAAAAAAAAAAAAAAAAAAAAAAAAATCAGAAAATCTGCCAGTCTCAGAATTCTGAAAAAAAAAAAAAAAAATTATACCGGACGGTTCTACTACAAGCATGAATTTTGGAAGTAAAGAAAATGTCATCTTCCATCTGAGGAGTCTCATGCAGGTGCTTCAGAGGTTGCCATTAATAAAAAGCATATATATGACTGAAGCTACACTGTACAAAGTGACAAAAGCATGCTACAAACAATGCAGGCAAGGAGTGCCCAAACTGAACAATTCACATCCTACAGAGACCACTTGCACCTAATCCACACACACAATTTCAGAGAAAACAATTCATTCACTATGTTTTCACTTGTCACTTATTAGTGCAGATGCCAATTAGTCAAAGAGGTCAATGATCCCAGGGACAGTCACATTTATAGCAGACTCTAGAACTGATCAATGATTATCTTTTGAAATGACATTATACAGCATAACTGATGCAACACAGGACGAGGACATTCCAAAACAGCATTAAAAACAGGGACAGCAGAGTGGCTCATATCAGCCTTGCAGCACTGGGGATCCCAGTTCAAATCCCAGTCAGGACACTATCTGCATGGAGTTTGCATATTCTCCCTGTGCTTGCATGGCTTTCCATCCACACTACAAGGAAAGTTAATTAGCTTCTTTTTTTTTCCCCCAAACTAGCCCTAGTAAGTGTGTGTGTGTATGTACTGTATGTATGCAGACGAGATAGGGACTTTAGGTTGTAAGCATTTATATACAAACAAAAGTCAAAGTCTCTTGATGATTTAATATAAAACTGTTTAGCAAGATTGTTAATGTGTGATGAGAGATCATCTCATACTTATGCTGGCCGTACACCATACACAAATTTTGGCCGATTCCTGCTGAAACGGCCGTGGGTGGCCCTGCTGGCACCACCTGGTTCAACAAACTTCGAAAATATAAAGCCGGGTGAAAAAACTGTCAGCCAAACAAGGACTGCATTTAAGGCAGGTTCCGAGAGGTGTCATGACAAGAGGCAGCAGTGGGGATTTCTCCATCCATGCTAGTAAGAGTATGGAGAACATCAAATGGTTGCCTCTTATTCAGGTTATAGGCTAAATGAGAGAAAATGTCATTGTGTATGTTCAACGATAGACAAGCCAAGAGCCAGAGAAGAGTCCATCATGGTTTCTGACCAGTAGAAACAGCACCCCCCTGGTACTTACACACTTTTCTTTTGATCGGGCCCCACTCACACAAAGATCTTTTAATAACTTGAACAAAAAAAAAAAAAACTCTGTACACTAGTATTAAAAAGTCAGAAAAGATGCTCCAAATCCGGAGCTTTCGGTGCTACTATGGGGCCATATACCACCTCCTCAACATAGAAATGTGACAGCTGCAGTCTAGTTACTATGGGCATGACTTCTGAACTTCTTCCCCCTTGCGTTTATAAATCAGGTCTAGCATCATCCAATCATATCATAGGCCTCATGTACACCTCTGCTCCTATACAGGAGTTTAGGACCTTTAGGCATTTTTTTTGCCAAAACACCTGAACTCAACTCAATAAAAGCCTATGTGTTCATGCACACAGTCTTCTATCAGAGTTTAGCAGCAGCAGAGTTTAAGGGCAGTTAAATGTCCCTCTCCTGAACATAGAGGAATCGTGTTCAAGAGAAGAACATTTTGGCCGAAAAAAGCCGAACATGGCAAAAACGCATTTAAAACGCGCCTAAGCGCTAGCCGCGTTTAGCACGTGGGCATTTATTAAATTCAATGGCAAGTACTCTGCACACTCACACACAACACTGCTCCATCCAAATATGTAGTTTTTGTTTTAATCTCAAATTATGCTATTTATCTGCTGGGGTCCTCTAACCCCTGTAGACCGTAGCAGGAAAATTTCTACCAATGAACATGAACAAGCACCTGACCCAAAAAAACAATTGCTAGTTGTCGCAATTTTATCTACCAATTGTATCACCAGTAATACACTACAGCCTGCCCAGCTGTGGCTTTGGTGTAATACTTACCAGCTGCAGTGCCGCAGCAAGGAGGCACCCACCACGCGGAAGAAAAATATTGTCGCAATGACCTCCTCAGGAAATAGGGTCACATTCCTTTGGACCTGGAGAAGATTAAGTACCAAGGCAAGAAAAACACCAACAGTAAAAAGGACCACACTTCTCCGGATCAGACTGCGGCCTTCGCTGCTGGCTAAGGTGCTGTAGGCCAAAGCAATGAGGGAGTTTAGGGAGGACATGGCTTTTCCGACTCTGCGTGCAAGCCAAGTGCTTATCTTTGTGCCGTTCGTGTCTCTCCCTCTGGCGCAAGAGCAACTCCAGCAGTGCTCCTCGAGTCTTGGCATTTGTTTTTTTAAGAGGTAGCTGTGGGAAAGAAGAAAGAAAAACAAGAAGGAAAAAAATAAGCATGTTGAGAAAATAAAATATATGTAACCAATGGTCTAGATAGCCTAAAACAAAGGTAAAGTGGCACTTTCCTATGTGACTCCCCCTAACTTCCCATGGCATTGACAACACTATCTCTGAACCTGAACATTTTGTTGTTAATTTTGAATAATATGTGGGAAAAGCTCCATCTGGCCTTTATTGCTTTACCTGTGCTAGATGGGGAGATTCCACTCACCCCGTTTCGGAGATAGCACGGTCACTGCCACAGGAAGAGAGTGGAAATCCCTCAAACAAGAACAAAAACAGCAGTAAACCTACCTCCTCACCCTAAGAAAAGAGAGATAAAGGTGTGTGTGGGGGGACTGAAACCTTCATCGGCTTATTGCTATCTGATGAAGATTTTCTCTCAATTCCTGTTCTGGTTTCAATGCGGTCATCAGAAAAACAAAGAAAAATCACCCCCCACCACCAGCTGCAGGACCACAAACATCAGTGAACCCTAGCAGATTGCCCAATCCCTCCCCATGTGATTCCAAACTATAGAGAAAGAAATTAGCAACTGGATCTACACTCCATCTTACATGAACGTTCTACTGAAAACAATGTAAACCATGTATAAGCAACATACATGAACACAGATATCTGACAATATATTTCTTTCCACTGTGTCATCAGCAGCATTATGTAGTAAGTCTTAAAGTGATATTAAACCAGATCTTTTTTTTTTATTTTTTACTTACCTCTTCCCATCCTCTCCCAGTGGCTAGTTAATGCAAAGAAGCAGGAAGTACTTCCAGATCACTGTGATTGGCTGCCACGTGATCAGGAGAGCATCCCACCAGCACCCGATCCCTCAGTCAGTGCTGTTCAGCAACCATGAACGTATATCTGCAGCATGTGGTCGCTAAAGCCCACCCACACGTGTTACATGGTCAGCAAGAGGTTAAGATGCTAAAAGATAGGCCTTACATATGGGGGGGGGGGGTTATTTACTAAAACTGAAGTTTGCAAAATCTGGTGCAGCTCTGCTTAGTAATCAATCAGCTTCCAGGTTTTATTGTCAAAACTTAACAAGCTGAAATTAGAGGAAGATTTAATAAATCTGGTGCAGCTGTGCATGGTAGCCAATCAGCTTCTACCTCTGCTTCTTCTGAAAGGTTTGCTTTTCCAGCTTCCTTTATCACCTGGTCCCCCAATCACCAGCTCCAATTTCTGTTGTAAGAGTGGCTCCTTGGCTTCCAGGGTCCTATGGAGAATATGTGCAGCTTCTGACTGTGCTGGACACGTGCAGACAGCCCAGAGGACCAGACACACGTGTAATGGTGCTAGGGATGATGGGACATGTAGTCACTTGACCCTTACTTTTAGATTGTAAGCTCTAAAGAGTAAGGCCCTCTGATTCCTCCTGTATTGAACTGTATTCTAACTGCACAATGCTTCACAAAATAGAGGGAGACAGTACAAATGGTTGGTGCTATATAAATCATTGCATAATAATAATAGTCATGTGGGAGGGTAATCAGGAGACCTAGTTTACATTCAGAGTGTATGCTCCCCAACTGGAAGTTCAGGGAAGCAGCACAGAGGAAGCTGCAGGCTGTGACGGTAAAATGAATTAAAGGTGAGTGTTTGGTGCCTTGTTGTAAACATTAGATAACTGTACAGCGATTAATAGAACAAAAGGAATGTATTTGTAATAAACTAATCAGAGACTTTAGTACTACTGTAACAGAGGGATCGTGCCATTTATATTTCTGTTCAATAACCGGATAGGACATAAGCTGTGTGTGCAGGAAATGACCAGATCCACCAGTTCCTATGAGGTCCAGAAACATTTACAAACTAACGTTATTAGCCCATAAGTGTTTTGCCAATTCCTGAATATAGATTGTTACAAAGGTTAATCAGGGTCTGACTAAACACCTATAAGGCAAATGTTCGCAAACCTGGATAACCCGTCATGTCCAGTCCTTCATCTGACAACTCATGAATGACCAAACCCCTCCCCTTTTCTGGCGTCATAACTCATGAAGTCATTCAGTGATATGAATCTCTGAATGACTGGATAATCTCCGGAATGACTGAATAATCAATAGCTTCCATTACCGGGATCTCTGTCTGTTCTGTGACACCACAATCCAGTCATTGCTATCTATCAATGGAGGATTAAAGACGCTGTGTGCTAACTGTTGTCCCCAGACACAGGGCTGACATCATTGTTTTATAGACTCAAAGATGTGCACACCGTGCCCATTACAATAATACCACCCCCCCCCCCCACACTTTGCAGAATGTATGTGCAGCAATGACTGTACTGATCTCTATGACCTGGAACAAAGATGTCCTGTACACTGTTGTTCCTTACCTATCCCCCCTCCAAACCTTAACACTGTCCTACTGGAAGTACAGGAATGCCACCTCCTTGGTCACAATTAAACCGAGCAAAGTGTGGTGTAGATGATTCTCCAGTTACATGGTGGAGGAAGAGACAGAGCCCTGGATCACCCATAGTAAGCTCCTTACTCCAGCGTCCCCCTCTGACACTAATCAGGGTAAACCCCATGATGTCAGGGGGAACACCTATCTGGTCTATGCCTGTAAATGGCGGCCAAATGTAGACTTCACTGGCCACAGATTAGTCAGTAATCATGACCCATAGCCAGTTCTGAATGAAGCTGTGCCATCACCCTCCTGTAAGTCACTTAGTGCCAGCTTTACCTTGAGCCATTCCAACCACCCTGTGAGCGACTTCTTATCCAAGCAGTGATGGGTGCCATCATCAGCCTATCAGATCTCAGCTACAGTCAGTTTTGGGGTAAGTATGTCATGGACCAGTGGATGAGACAGACAGACACACAGACAGACACGTTCTGATATATGTGCATGAAAGTACAGATCTCAGCATGGCAGTGTATGTAATACAGCAATACTGCAGCAAAATAACCTCCCTCCCCAGTTTATAGCACCAGCCCCGCTGTATCACCACCCCCCCCCCCATCCCCAAATTAGATCACTGACCAGCCATATGGTAGCACAGAGCCTATGCTAACAATGCCACCATCCCAACCTGGCAGTACAATGCCCCCCAACTTGTCATGACCTCCCAAACTATAGTACTAGGACAGTAAACCCCCCCCCCCACCAAATGGATCACCAACCAGACATATGGCAGCACAGTGCCCATTCCAGCAATGACACCTTCCCAATCCAGCAACATGGCAATGTACTGCACCCCACCCTACCAATGTGGCAGACACCCCCCAGCACAACTATAGAACAATCCCCCCGCCATATGACAGCACAGTGTCATCATTCCAACCCAGCAACATGGCAATGTACTGCACCCCATCACACCAATGTGGCAGACACCCCCATAGTACCAATCCTCCCCCTTAGCACCAATACCACTATGTAACAGTACAATCACCCCTCCCCCCACCTTCCTAATATATCACTACCCAGACATATGGCAGCACAGTGTCCATTCCAGCAGCAGTACCATCATCCTAACCCAGCCCCTCAACCCCCCCCCCCCCCGTACCAATACAACCCCTTTCAAATATATCTTCCCCAGCCATATGGCAGTACAGTACATCCCAACCCAGCAGCATGGCACTGCCCTGCACCCCACTATAGGTGGCAATGGACCAGTACCCCCCCCTCCACCATAGATGGCTATGGACCAGTACCCCACCCCCCTCCACCATAGATGGTAATGGACCAGTACCCCCCCTCCCTCCACTATAGATGGCAATGGACCAGTACCCCCCCCCCTCCCTCCACTATAGATGGTAATGAACCAGTACCCCCCCCACCTCCCTCCACCATAGATGTAATGGACCAGTACCCCCCCCCCCTCCCTCCACCATAGATGGTAATGGACCAGTACCCCCCCCCCCCTCCACCATAGATGCTAATGGACCAGTACCCCCCCCCCCCTCCCTCCACCATAGATGGTAATGGACCAGTACCCCCCCTCCCTCCACTATAGATGGTAATGGACCAGTACTCCCCCTCCCTCCACCATAGATGGTAATGGACCAGTACCCCCCTCCCTCCCCACTATAGATGGTAATGGACCAGTACCCCCTCCACCATAGGTGGCAATGGATCAGTACCCCCCCCCCCCCTCCAATATAGATGGTAATGGACCAGTACCCCCTCCACCATAGGTGGCAATGGATCAGTACCCCCCACCACCATAGAACCAGTACAGTTATATGGCAGTACGATCCCCCCCCCCCCATGCCGATTCCAGCACTGCTACCTTCCTAACCACCTAATACATAACCCCCCTTAGCACCCGTACATCTCCATGTCAGTACAATCCCCATACAGACATATGGCAGCACAGAGCCCCCCCAGCACCAATAAACCTATCTGCCAGTAGCACCCCTCCTATGCCAGCTCTGCCCCCCTCAGGTCTCACCGGTGAGCAGGGCACAGGTGGGTAGGTGACCGGACGGTGAGTGGTAGGTAGACGTAGTTTCCTCCGGTGTCTCCTGTGAGCTCCTCTATAAATATGAGTGCCGGGTGAAGTGCGGCTCCTCCCGCCCCCAGGTAGGTCTGTTCTCTGTCCTCCTCTGCCCCGCTCCCTCCTCCCCCCAAGTGAATGAGACAGAGGAGGGGGGGGAGCCGCACCGGCCCCGACCCAAAACAACATGCGTGTCTGGTGAGGCGCTAGCAGCCAATCAGCGGCGGGCTGCCCATATGACGTAGAGGGACACACCACACACCTTCCTTCTCTGGGAGGAAAAAAAAATCAAAACAAGAGGCGGCGGCGTGCGGGACGTGTCGGGGGCGCGCATTGTTAGGAGTAGCTGGAGGACGAGGGATTTCCCGCCGCATCCTGGGAGTCTTTCCACTCAGGACAGTGACCCCGGACAGGAGGAATTCCAGGCACAGGAGACACAACCATGGCCTGCCTCATATAATAGTCTCTATGGTCAGAGTAGTTGGGGTTGTGTAGGTGTACAGGTTGGGGGTCACTGGTACTCTGACATCTTGTGGGCGGGACCTGAGGTCACATGACCTCTCCTGGGCTCCAATCAGGGATGTGGGGTTCAGTGTTAGACACCCAGAGAATAATTAGGTAGCAGCACAGAGTGCAGGGGTCAGGAGCCTGACCTGTATACACACAGGTGCACAGAGTGCAGGGGTCAGGAGCCTGTCCTGTATACACACCAGTGCAGGGTTCAGGAGCCTGTCCTGTATATACACGGGTGCACAGAGTGCAGGGGCCAGGAGCCTGTCCTGTATACACACCAGTGCAGGGGTCAGGAGCCTGTCCTGTATACACACGGGTGCACAGAGTGCAGGGGGCCAGGAGCCTGTCCTGTATACACACCAGTGCAGGGGTCAGGAGCCTGTCCTGTATACACAGTGCAGGGGGTGCACAGAGGTGCAGGGGTCAGGAGCCTGTCCTGTATACACACCAGTGCAGGGGTCAGGAGCCTGTCCTGTATACACACGGGTGCACAGAGTGCAGGGGTCAGGAGCCTGTCCTGTATACACATGGGTGCACAGAGTGCAGGGATCAGGAGCCTGTCCTGTATACACATGGGTGCACAGAGTGCAGGGGTCAGGAGCCTGTCCTGTATACACACCAGTGCAGGGGTCAGGAGCCTGTCCTGTATACACACGGGTGCACAGAGTGCAGGGGTCAGGAGCCTGTCCTGTATACACAGCGGTGCAGGGGTCAGGAGCCTGTCCTGTATACACATGGGTGCACAGAGTGCAGGGGTCAGGAGCCTGTCCTGTATACACACCAGTGCAGGGGTCAGGAGCCTGTCCTGTATACACACACACGGGGGTGCACAGAGGGCAGGGGTCAGGAGCCTGTCCTGTATACACAGCGGTGCAGGGGTCAGGAGCCTGTCCTGTATACACACGGGTGCACAGAGTGCAGGGGTCAGGAGCCTGTCCTGTATTACACACACAGAGTGCAGGGGTCAGGAGCCTGTCCTGTATACGGGTGCACACAGGGGTGCACAGAGTGCAGGGGTCAGGAGCCTGTCCTGTATACACACGGGTGCACAGAGTGCAGGGGTCAGGAGCCTGTCCTGTATACAAAGCGGTGCAGGGGTCAGGAGCCTGTCCTGTATACAAAGTGGTGCAGGGGTCAGGAGCCTGTCCTGTATACACACCGGTGCAGGGGTCAGGAACCTGTCCTGTGTACAAACGGATGCACAGAGTGCAGGGGTCAGGAGCCTATCCTGTATACACACGGGTACACAGAGTGCAGGGGTCTGGAGCCTGTCCTGCCTGAGGAATATGCCGCAATGGAGACATAGCAATCACATCACTGCATATAATAACAAGAAAATAGAGTATTTAAAGGGAGTTTTAACTGCAGTAAACAGAAAGTAACACAGATAATAAATTACATTTGGGCTGTTCAATAAATAATTCCCTTCCATCTATTCTAGATTTACCCTTACAATGCGGGGGAGGTCCTGGCCATTTGGATAGGGGAGAGTTCAAAACAATTACTTACCTTATATCTTGCTTCCTCCTTTCCTTGTGACTGGTTTCCCAAAGTCCCTTAACTACACTATATTGCCACAAGTATTGGGACACCTGCCTTTACATGCACATGAACATTAATGGCATCCCAGTCTTAGTCCGTAGGGTTCAATACTGAGCTGGCCCACCCTTTGCAGCTATAACAGCTTCAACTTTTCTGGGTAGGCTGTCAACAAGGTTTAGGAGTGTGTCTATGGGAATGTTTGACCATTCTTCCAGAAGCGCATTTGTGAGGTCAGGCATTGATGTCGGATGAGAAGGCCTGGCTCGCAGTCTCTGCCCTAATTCATCCCAAAGGTGTTCTATCGGGTTGAGGTCAGGACTCTGTGCAGGCCAGTCAAGTTCCTCCACCCCAAACACCCTCATCCATGTCTTTATGGACCTTGCTTTGTGCACTGGTGTGCAGTCATGTTGGAACAGGAAGGGGCCATCCCCAAACTCTTCCCACAAAGTTGGGAGCATGAAATTGTCCAGAATGTCTTGGTATGCTCATGCCTTAAGGGTTCCCTTCACTGGAACTAAGGGGCCAAGCCCAACCCCTGAAAAACAACCCTACACCATAACCCCCCTCCACCAAATTTTACACTTGGCACAATGCAGTCAAATGAGTACCGTTCTCCTGGCAACGGCCAAACCCATACATGTCCATCTGATTGCCAGACAGAGAAGCATGATTGGTCACTCCACAGAACACGTCTCTGCTGCTCTAGAGTCCAGTGGTGTCATGCTTTACACCACTGCATCCGACGCTTTGCATTGCACTTGGTGATATAAGGCTTGGATGCAGCTGCTCAGCCATAGAAACCCATTCCATGAAGCTCCCTACGCACGGTTGTTGTGCTAATCTGAAGGCCACATGAAGTTTGGAAGTCTTTAGCTATTGACTCTGCAGACAATTGGCGACTTCTGTGCACTAATAAAATAAAGTAGGTGCAGTGCCGAGATCCAAGATATAGAATTAAAGTGCTACATAAACAACAGAATGCTGAATCATTCGAAATCAATTGCCAATAATATAAATAATAAAGTGTCAATAGTACTATTGGTGGCCATAAATAAAATCATGAGATATAAAGTGACAAACGTGCTTGTGTAATAATCATGTACATAAGTCCAATAGGTGATCAAGTGTGTTTTTAAATATGGGGAGAGCCACTCAAGGTGGCTGCAGTGCTAAAAAAGTGAAAAGTCCAAAATAATGAACGTGGGGATCCGTCAAAAGATCTCAGGATAGGTGGTCCAGAGTCATCTCCAAATCATAGGTGGTATATCTGGTAATAGAAAAATTGCGCACTCACCAGATGCGCAATATCATCACGCATTTGAGAATACAATTATCTCATCAGGTAAGCCAGATCCTCTTAAGGTATGTACAACCTAGTCACGGTTCCCCTCTGGATGCTCCCTGGGTAACAGTACATCTATCTTTCTCTTTAAATGGCTCTGTGGATGGTTAGACTCACAAAGAGCCCAAAGAAAGGATGTCACTTTTGCCTTTTTTGAGTTCTGTGCACTGTGTGCTTCAGCATGTGCTGACCCCGCTCTGTCATGTGACGTGGCCTACCACTTGGTGGCTGAGTTGCTGTTGTTCCCAGTTGCTTCCACTTTGTTATAATACCACTAACAGTTGACCATGTAATATTTAGTAGCAAGGAAATTTCACGGATGGACTTATTGCACAGGTGGAAACCTATCACGGTACCACGCTTGAATTCACTGAGCTCCTGAGAGCGACCCATTCTTTCACAAATGTTTGTAGAAGCAGTCTGCATGCCCAGGTGTCTGATTTTATACAATTGTGGCCATGGAGGTGATTGGAGCACCTGAATCCAATGATTGGAGGGGTGTCCCAATACTTTTGGCACTATAGTATATATTGCTGAGCCAGCCACATTTCATGGGAGGACAGCAATGGCCTGCCCACTTTCTGAAGTGTCAGCAGAAGAGAACGCCAGCTGATGGGGGTTCATGGAATATTTTAGGTATTTGTTCTTATTTTTACCCCTCCCCAGCCAAACAAAAACTTAAACTATCCAGTGCCAGGTGGGACCTCACTGCATAGATGAATTTTAAAGCACCCCCGAGTGGAGTTTTAAAGCAGAACTAAACCCTCCTATCCTTTTCAGCCAAGGAAGCTGCCATTTCAGCTTCTGTTTGATCTTCAACTGCCAGTGTACTGTACATATGATCAGTTATGACTCCAGACATTTGATGGTTTGACAGTTTGGTTGAGAGCACAAGCAGATGTGACCGTTAGCATTCTTGGCATGCTGGGAATTTAAAGCAGAACTAAACCCATCAATTAAACAGTTACATTCCTGGCACTTGGCAGGAATGTAACCGTCACAGTTGCTTGTGCTGTCAACCAAACTATTAAACCATCAAATGGCTGGGGTCATAACTGATCACATGCACAGCACCATGGCAGCTGAAGATCAAACAGAGTCTAAGATGGCAGCTTCCTTGGCTGAAAAGGATAGAAGGATTTAGTTACGTTTTAACTTTTTTTTTAACTTTTAATCAATGGGTTTAGTTTCACTTTACAGCAGTTCTTCAATCATGTTTGAAAAAAATTAAGTCAGACTTTTAATAAACAGACACTTTGTACCTGTCCAAGAATCCAACACTGTCCTCCCCCGGTCCAGGTCTTCGGGTCTTGGCACCGCCATGTTTACAGTAGGAAGCTGGCTATGACTCCTTGTGGCTTCACAGCCAACTCCCCTCTGTGCTTGCGCATGCTGTGGTGCATTGTGTGAATGGTCCTACAGCCTCCAGGGACAAGTGATGTGTCTCAGGAGGTTGTGGGGAGGGGGGGGGGGGGGCAGGGAGATGAACTTTCAGTGGAATTGCCTTGGCGATTCCAGCAGGAGTGGGGGCAAGTACCTAAAAAACCAAAAACAATTCCAAAACTGTTAGAGGAGGGGGGTGGGGGATTAAGACATAAAGCAAAATAAAGCAATACAAAGCAGTGTGCTTACACAGTAAAACACACACTGCACACAGTTAACCTTTTGATCACCTGATGTTAACCACTTCCTGCCCGGTGCTATTAGTACAGTGTCAGTTCCTTTTTATTAGCACTGATCACTGTATTAGTGTCACTGGGGATG